GACAGACACTCACAGTATTCAGTGAAGACCATGTGAAGACACAGGGAGAAGGCTATCTAAAAGCCAAGGAGAAAGGCCTCAGAAGAAACCAATCCTTCTGGCACTTTCATATTGGACTTTTAGCCTCCAGAACTGTGAGGAAATAAATTTCTATTCTTTATTTTTTTTTTTAAGATTTTATTTATTTATTTGTCAGAGAGAGAGAGAGCGAGTACACAAGCAGGGGGAGCAACAGGGCAGAGGGAGAAGCAGGCTCCCTGCTGAGCAGGGAGCCCTATGCGGGGCTTGATTCAAGGACCCTGGGATCATGACAAAGGCAGATGCTTAACTGACTAAGCCACCCAGGTGTCCCATAAATTTCTATTCTTTAGGTCAGTCTGCGGTACTTTGTTATGGTAGGTCTAGCAGACTAATATAAAACCCTACTTGGTAACTAAATGTTATTTTCTTCTTTTATTTTAATTTAATTTAATTTAATTTAATTTAATTTAATTTAATTTAATTTAATTTATTTGACAGAGACACAGCGAGAGAGGGACACAAGCAGGGGGAGTCAGAGAGGGAGAAGCAGGCTTCCCGCGGAGCAGGGAGCTCGATGCGGGGCTCGATCCAGGACCCTGGGATCATAATCTGAGCCGAAGGCAGACACCCAATGACTGAGCCACCCGGGTGCCCCAGTATGTTATTTTCTTAAATCATATGGGTCTTGTGCTTTTTTGGGAGAAATAACTTTCTCTATTTCTTTTCCTCTAGTATAGGAGTGACAAACTGCAACTCATGGGTCAAATCAAGTTGGCTGCCTATTTTTTTTTTTTTAAGATTTTATTTATTTGTTTTAGAGAGAGAAGGGGCAGAGGGTGAGGGAGAGAAGCAGACTCCCTGCTGTGCAGGGAGCCCAATGTGGGGCTTGATCTCTCCACCCTGAAATCAGAACCTGAACCAAAACCAAGAGTCAGACGCTTAACCAACTGAGCCACCCCAGCGCCCCTGGCTGCCTGTTTTTGTAAATGCAGTTTATTTGGGACAAAGCCACACTCATTTCTTTGTATATATCTATGGAGGCTTTTTGCTTCAATGGCAGAGTTGAATATTAGATCTGCAAACCCCAAACATTCGCTATCTGGTGCTTTAGAAAAAAATGTGCTGACCCCTGCTTTAGTAAATACTTAGGATGGGCTTATATGCATATTATTCTTTGAGTTCTTGCATTTTAAAAAGACGGTTTGTTTTTATTTTTCTTCTATAGAGTTCAATGCTTGAAAAACAGTGTGGATGGGTGGATACAAAATCCCTTAGCTTGCATTTTCTTTGCTTGAGTTTTTAGAAAATGCTGCATCACTATTGCCTTGCTTTGCTCTTGAGAAGTCTGATGCCAGATATTTTGGTTACCAGATTCCATAACAATCTACCTTGAAAAGTAATGGTTTAAGGTGAGAGCTATTTTGATTATAATTTCACAATTTTGGGGGTCAGGAATTTGGGTGGGGTTTGGCTGGATTATTCTTCTGTTCCACATAGCTTCAACTGGGGTCACTCAGTGGTACCCAGCTGATGGATGAACTGATATAGAGCATTCATGATGACTTCACTCACATCGGCTAAGGCCAGCTAGCCTCTCTCCCTCTCTATGCCATCTCAGAGCCTCTCCACAGGGAGTTAGATTTTTTTAAAAAGATTTACTTATTTTATTTTAGAGAGAGAGAGAGACACTGCATGAGTGGGAGGGGTGAGGGGAGGGGGAGAGAGAATCACAAGCAGACTCCATGCTGAGCGCAGAACCAGATGCGGGGCTCTATCCCAGGACCCTGAGATCAAGACCTGAGCCGAAACGAAGAGTCGGACGCTTAACCAACTGTGTCACCCAGGTGCCCATGGGAGTTAAATATTTCATATTGTGGCTCAGGGCTTCAAGAGCAAGTGTTCTCAAAGACCCCGGTGGATTCTTAAGACTTTTATGACCTAGGCTTGGAAGTCCCGTATACATCACACATTCTGTTGGTCAAGCAATTCACTTGGGCCAGCCTGGATCAAAAGGAGGGACAAAGAATTTGCAGACTTCTTTAATGTACTGCAGCCCCATGTCCTTACCTTTTTAAGTAATTTGAACTTTTTGCACTGAGGCTTTGAAAAATTCTTATTTTTGTCTAATAGTTTTAAGAGGTTGGCTCTTAGAATTGATCATTTTGTGATGATTTCCCCAAGTACACTGGGGCTCTTTCATTATATAGGTTTACATTTTCTTATTTCCAGAAAGTTTCATTATATGTGGAACTTCAGCTGCACCTAGGTTGGACGTTCTTTGCTTGTACTCAAATGACATTCCAAACTGAGACAGAAATAAGCACAAAGGTATTGAAGCAAGGGAAAGTAGGAACATTGCAGGAGTTTGGTTGGGATGTGTGTGGGAAGTGACAAAAGAGGGAGTGGGGAGATGGACAAGGGCTAGATAAATGGAAGGTCTTGTGTGCTATGCTGAGCAGTGACATACACAGGCAGCACATTCTGGAAAGTTTTTTCTGACATGCAGTATGGAATACGGAATGGAAGGAATGAGACCATCAACAGGATTGTTGAGTGAGGTGGGGATGGGAAGGAAGGAATCAAGGATGACTCCCAGGTTTCTGAACTGGGCAACTGAGTGGACAGTAATGCTAAAGACTTTTAGACACGTAGAGCTTTGTAGTGTCTGTAGGGCATCCAGGTGGAGAAGTCCAGCAGGCTTTGTGTCTGTGGAGCTCAGATGAGTGGTCTGAGCCAGATAACTCACTTGATAGATGCTGGTGTATGTGGCAGACGAAAACAGGGAGTGGATGGAATGGCTTCGGGAGATGGTGTGGGGTGAAATGAAAGCTGAGAACAGAACCCAGGAGACTCAGGAGAGGTCAAGAGGGGTGAGGAGGTGAGTCATGTCGTGAAGGCCAAGGGAGTTTCAAAAAGAGGAGGGTGCTTTGTGTCGTCAAATGCCACCAGGAGCTCAGTAATACAAGGACTCAAAAACAGCCTGTGGCATTTAGCATTAAGCAAGCCCTTAATGACTGAGCGGTGCAGTGACGTGGTGGGGACAGAAGTTACAGAGCCGTGGGTTGATGAGGGAGAAGCTGCTGAGTTGGCAGAGAGGAGTGCAAACTACTTTCAGGATGTTTGTGAAGGAAAATACAGACAGGGACCAAGCAGTACCTAGAACACAATGCAGAGGGACAGAGGTGTTTCTTTTTCTTGAGGACAAGAAAAGCTCGAACATGGCAGACGGTGAAGGAAAAGGTACGAGTAGTTGATAATTTTGGGAGTGAGAGCTGGGGCATGATCGAAATATGTTTGAAAGGAGTTTTCTGAGGGTGTGGGAAGTGATGAGGTACAGAATGGCGCAGGAGAAATGCTAATACAAGTGTACTTAATTTCCAGAATAGTTTATTCTAGTCTAGCTCACGTACTGAAATTACCTCGGTTTCAATCGATAGGGCAAATATAGCAAACAATATGGACATATTTATTTTATCTCATTTACACATCTTTTCTCCAAAGGGTAGGATCAATGTTTTACCCTTTCAAAGCCTCCCACATAGTTGGTGCTCAGTAAGTGGTAAATGAATAAACAAGATGTCTCTTGCCTGTATTCTGAGTATCTCAGCATATTCAGAACACAGTCAAGACCCTGCATACACGTGAAAAATTCTTCTAAGCGTGCAAAAGAGTCCCAAAATTCATGTGTGAAAGGTGATGTCCTTTTTTTGAGGAACCTGTTTACCCTCACTGAACAAAGTTGGTTACCAGCATTTTCTTCACCATAGGAGTTTAAAAATAGGAAAATGAGAGGAGGAGGAAGAGGATGTTCTAAAGGCAGGCAGGCCGACAGACAGCAGGAGGAGGCGCGATCTGCCTTACCATAAGGTGCCAGAAAGCAGTGAAAACCAGACGCAAAGCATACTGGGGCTTGGGGGCTCTTCGCTTAGGGACTTCCATCCCGCACTCACACAGCAATTGTCCTTAAAGGACTGCTGATCTGGGCCTTAAGAAATGGCGAGAAAAACGATCCTTTGAACCATCACCAAAAAAAAAAAAAAAAAGCATAGCTGTTCCTAATTTCGAATCATCTCCTATGTTTCACACAGTTTGGAAAGGATTCTATCAGAAATGGATAATATTAAAACAAAAGAGCTGATGCTGAGATGGTGAACCTGGGTCCCCTCAGTTCCCTTGTCCAGGCTGTTTAGCTAGCCTGGATGCACTCCTTTTTTTCTCCTAGAACGTCTTTCTTTTTCTTCCTTCCAGGCGCAACACAAATGCCACCGCTTCCAGGAACCCCTCCACACGGTCCAGGCGGAAGTAATCTCTTCCTCCTCTGCCCTCCCATAGCATCTCCTTGTGGCTTGGCTTTGCATGGGTCACTAGGCCGGGTTGTTTACACGGCTGCTTTTGCACTAAATTATGCGCACCTCGAGACCAGGGGCCGTGACCGTGACGGGGTACCTACCCAGCACCTGGTACAGCGCTAGGCGCGGAGTCGGTGCTCCGTAAGCGCTCGCTGAGTTCAATCAATTTGGAAAAATCCCTCAGGGCAAGATCTCTTGCTCGAGGCGCGGATGAATGATTCAAGGGTGGTTTTTTGCATTCTTTACCTTATAGTCACGGCGCGCCGAGTATCCAGCTGCCCGGCACATACCTGTGGAATTGAAACGCACCTCCGCCGCCCGCCGCCAGCGTGCGGGACCAGCCCGAAGGGGGCAGGTTTCCCCCGCGCGTCCGCACGCCGGCCGGGGAGCTGGTGCGGGGGGGGGCCCGGGTCCTGC